TTTGCCTCGCGAACAACAGCATAGTATTCGCGGATTACAGATAGATCGAAGACTCCTTGATCAATAAGACCTTTCCATTCCTTCTTCATGGATTCCATCGCCTTTGAGTTAGTAAGCATCTCGGCCCTTCCCACGGGTCGTGATACCATTGCATTGATGATTCTTGCCACCTTGATGTTCTTTTCTCGATGGTCTTCTTCGGCCGGAACACAAGGCATTTTGGGATAGTCGCCCTCCGGGCAATCAATCACTGGCGATGCCGCGCAGGTTCGTAAACCCAAATCTCGCTCTGCAGGTCCTCCCACTCATAAATGTATGATAGCTCGTCCGTGCTCTCGGATACATTTCCTCACGTCATGGTGCTTTCTGAACCATTGTCATCCATGTTCTCCGACAGTTCCCCATCATGGTCATTCTTTGGGATAGATGCAAGACCTTCCCTTGGAGTAAACTTCCATAGATAACCACCAGGATCCCATAGACCTCGTCCAATGTCACATTGGTTGCACCAAGATCTTGAAGACGTTTGGAGTCCATGCACAAAACTGAACCATCGACCGGATTGACAATGATCCTCGTCCAATCCAGGTCCGCCAAGAACTTTCCCTCGACAGGATTCTTGACCTTATTTGTGTTCTTCCGTATGCCCCAGTTGTACAACCATTGATCACCACCCCATCTTTCCTTGAGCATCGCTTTGATTCTCTTAGCGCTCGGAGCGTTGACCTTTGTACTTTCTGCAGGTGCGGCGTCCTTTGAGCTACCAGTGCCATCCTTCTTCTTTGGTTGTATCTTTCCTTCTGCATCAACATCAATAGCGTTCCGCAATGTTGCCCATTCTTCAGGCGTAAATCCTGCCGGTCTTGTTGTCTTCATTGTCCTGAATCCATCTTCACCGACTGGATATGGTCTTCCACGAGCATCAAGCTTGACCGTTTTTCCAAGATCATTCCTATAGATAATACCATCTTTGGCCTTCCCTGTTGATACATGGGGTAGATCGGCGACGTCCTCAACAGTGTCTTTGCCTTCCTTGCTCCCCGGCTCGACGACTTCGACGTCCTCACCTTTCTCGTCATGCACGATCCCAGCGATCTCCTCGACCTCATCGAGTTGTCTCTGATCTACATCTTGCAAGAGAGTAGGATCGGGGTCCTCATCCTCAGCCGGCTGCTCTAAGTGAACGCCTCTATCATCTTCCCCATTGTTTTCCTCAACACCTTCAAGAGTCTCATTCCTCATCTTGTATTTCTCTTGAACGGGAAAAGAAATTGGTATCTTCAGAACAATTCTCTCGGTCTGATGCGGTTGGCGTAGTCGAGGTGGAATTTTCGCCTTCCTTATTGAAAGGTCCACTCCGGCGAAGCTTGTGAGAGCCCAGGCCCGATATTTTCGTGCCCAGTGAAGACCAGAACTCAGGTTGTAACCAGCAAAGATACCAGTTTCCCCTTTCGGTTCGAACTTCTCTCTCTTGTCTCCCCTCGCATCGCTCGGTTTGAACTCAACCAGTGCGCCAAAAGGGATCTTCTCGCCCTTGAAATGTTCACCATGTAATCGAAACCACGCACTCGAACCATTGATCTCTTCGACATTCATCAGGTGGCACAGCGAAGGAATGGCGTATATCCAATAACATGTTGGAAGTCCTGCATGTACTAGACAAGCTGTGGCTTGGTCCACGATGAACTGGTTCGTGCGTTCGGCAAGCGAATTGTTCTGTTTCTTGCCTGGAAGCGATAGGTCATGAGGAATCTTCAGTTCCGAACATGCGTTGATGAACTCCGGCGCGTCGTCCGAGTACACTTGCTTGATCTTCCGTCTGCCGGCAAAGTGCTTTATGCTGTTGATCACCGTCACTCTTGCGACCGATCGGATAGCCCATGATGATGCCAGTATAGATATCTCGGATGATCATGACGTACTTGTCATTGTTCTCGGCATCTCCTGCAGCTTCAACCAGGTCGAAAGTGATCAAGTCCCCGAACGTCTTCACTTCACGTTTGAATGCGCCAGACTTGGATCTGAAATGCCTCATCTTCGCTTTCACGCATGATTCACAGAATGGGTTTCGATACCTGTGCGGTAGCAAACGTGTCAATGTGTTGGCGTCGTCTTTCAATGTACCAATTCTCTTCTTTATGGATGCACCTTCGTAGATGTCGACTTCAAAACCTGCTTCGGGATCAGCATCATCTTCACCCTCAGCTTCGTCTTCTCCTGGCTCGGGCCCAAGTCCACGAGCCTCTTCACCAGGTTCTTCGACTCTAGGTGGTGCGGGCCCCGCTCCACCAGGCGGGCCGAAATCTACGGCTTCGACGCCATCCTCCTCCCCAGCGAGAGCGTAGGGATCTCCGACTTCCTTTTCTTCTTCTTCTGCTACAACCTATGATTTCCTTGAGCGTCTTCATGTGCTCCAAGATATCCTCGGGTACGGGTCGATGACGATTACTCCTCGCAATTCGATCTCCAACCAAGTAAGGAATATCGTCCTTGACGTGCAAATGGACAATCTCTTTCTCAGGCGTTATCATGAACGGCAACTTTCCACAAATCCAGTGAAAAGAATAACCCATTCATGCATCGTTGACCAATAGATAGTACCGTCAGCGTCTCATCCAGGACAAAGGGTTGGACTGTTTCCTTCAGCTTGTTGACGTAGTACTTGATGGAATCCGAAGTGGAAGTAGTACCATTTGCCGTTTGGAAAACAATCTCGTCCTTGTCTTGAACAATCGAGGGAGGCCGCCTTGGATTTGCCGATCAAATCATGACCACATCCTGTGTCCATCAGCCATTTCACTCCCTTGCATTGGTTTGCAGACAGGGCGAATAGACTGATCGGTTGTCCGTGCTTCTTTTTCCATTGCACGACTCCCTCTGTGATCTCGTCATCCTCCTTGTCAAACTCGAATGTGAAGGTTCGCTCCTTGTTCATTGGCATTTTGTGAGTCCGATATACATCGTTGACCACTTCGCTCATAATCTCGGCTCTGATGAGTGCCTTCTTGTGACTATATGCAAGGTGTCGTCGATGATCATACGTCTTGAACGTCTTGGCGTTGACCGGTTTCGAAGATGATTGTTGCACATCGTCAGTGAATCCCTTGTACCACATCAAATTAGTCCGCCATTGTTCATCTTCATTCTTCAGGTACTCCACCTCTTCGCTCACGTCATTGTCAAGAATCTCTTGGAACCATACGTACTTCTCGGGTATGTCGGTTTCACCTGACCACCGCGAAGATTCACTCATGGCGTCTTCTGCATCACGATCGTGATACACGGTCTCGACTTCGGCTTCGCTCTCTTCTGCGCCTTTGTCATCCTTCTTGGCTTCCGAAGTCGCGGCTCTCTTGACAATGATAGCGGGCATAGCGATGTGAACCTTCCTCACAATTGCCGGAGCTGCTGCTTTGGGCTTAGCCTGTGCTTTAGCTTGTTGCTTGGGTGCCGGAGCTGATGCTTTGGGGTTTGCTGGTTCAGCGTGCTTGTATTTGCACTGATCCCCTTTTGTGCACTTTCCTTCTCTCCATGCGTAGCAAACTCCGTCCCTCTTTGGTGAGGGTGTTCTTGCTCCTTTGCCTCCACCCTTTCCTTTGCTGTTGTCCAATTTGTGCTTGTTTTTGGGGTTATGGGAATATGGACAATCTTTGCCTTTGAGACATCCTCCTTCTTTCGTGTAGTGGAAGACGCACGGCCATTCCTTCTTCTGCTCTGGGCTCATGCTTTTTCCTTTTCCTTTTCCTTTGCCCTTCTTATCGTGGTCTTTCGCTTTCGCCTTGGGCAGCACAGGTGCTGCCGTGTTCCCGTCGTCTTCTTTCCCGGAATTTCCTCCTTTTCCCTTTGCCTTTTCCTTTTCTGCCGGTGCCGCATTCTTGTTGCCGCTCAGCAGGTTCTTGACTGACTTCTCCTTCATGTCGTAGACGTAGTCCTCACGATCAGTCCGAAGTTGTCGATCAATCAATCCCAATAGGAAACGGTAGGTCTTCTCAGGGTGTGCATCCGGTAACCGCGCATAGGTACTGAGACCAAATTCCAATTTTCTGCTTCCTTTGATCTTGTGATACAGGATGTCCCGGAGCGTAATCTCTCTGGGTGTATCCTCCTTTCTCAGGTTGAGCAAGGTGTCATACCATTTGTTGCGGAACACGGACATGTTTTTGTTCCCTGGGTATTCCAGTCTGATCAGATGTTCAATGGTGAACGTCATGTCTGATCGATCGCTCGATCTGAAGGATTGTAAAATGATGGCAATGATCTCCCTTCCCTTGATCAATCTGTTCTCTCTTTGGCGTCGTTCGGAGTGCAGTTGGATATCATGTACCACGTCTTTCGCATCGTCTGGTGCACTCCTGAGCATCGTCTGGAGCGAAAGTGCCAGTTTGATATCCATCATCGCAAATCGCTCTCCTCCCGAATCGGCTAGAAGCTCAAGATCAGGATTCACCACGAAAGTACATCCCACCCATGACATCCATAATTCAAAACCAGGGTCCGCTGAGGCGCTGGTGTGAGCGCCATCTTCCAGTTGTCCAGCTTCGTGATCTTCGGCCATGGAGGCACGTTGACCTTCTGGGCTTCCTTCCGTGATATCCTTGGTCGACCACTGTCATGATCTCTGCGATCTCTCGATCTTCTTCTTCGTGATGACGTTCTGCCACGACGGCGATCATCATCATCATCATCGGATGGTTCTTCTTCGTCGTCCTCGTCTCCATCGTCATCGTCGTCAGGTGGATCAGGTGGACTTGGCCCTCCTGTCGCAGCTGGGACAGGAACACGTCCTAGACCCCCCGCGTTTCCATCTGCAATGTGATAACGTTGAACCAAATCTCATATTTGGAATAGATCCTACCGCTTCATGGAGCTGGTCGATATGGGCCTGTATCATTGGGTCTTGGTAAACAGGAAACAAAATAGAACCCGGTCCGAGGCTATAATCAATTGGCTTAAGAACATTGGGCGCCTGTACACTAGAACTAGATGCCGCCATTGTGGCCTGATAGAGCATTACCTGACCTTGTTGTTGAGGGCCATTTGAGGTATCACACTTACGGGTCTTCGAATTGTGGCGTTTACTGGTTCTAACGGAGTCATCCCTCAGTAGAGCTCGCCCACGATCTTTTGCATCCGTCGCGATGGCGACTTGGGTGGCATTCTCGCTTTCGAGTTCTTTGTTCGTCTCCGCCAATTGGTACACAAAGCTCTCTTGGATCTTGAGTTCCTTTCGCGTCTCTTCGATTTCTTCGGACATCGCAGCGATCCGGCTGAGGTAGTCGGATCTCGCATCGATAGCCTTTTGTCTTGATACAGCGAGCTCGCGAGTCACGTCGACAAACTCTTGATCTCTCAGCGTGGCGCGATCATGTAATGCGTTTCCTTGATGAGCTCGATCTCTAGCAATTTTGATCTCCTCATTCATCTTTGCGTCACGTTCCTGTACTGCACGTTGTCCGATCAAGTACATCTCGTCCCGTTCGCTCATGGCAATCCGTGCGCAATGGGCTTCTTGTTCAGCGTACCTGATAGCATCATTCGTTTTGTTCACCAATATTTCTTGTGGCTCATCATCGATTGCCATGGTCGGTTGTGGTAGCAATGCTGCTTCCAATCTCTCACGTAAACCACGAATAGTATTCTCCTCATTCTGCGAATCTGTAACGATCTTCACTTGATATGAATTGATCATCGATTGATACTGGGCGATCTCGGAGGAAGTGCTTCTTCTTTCTTGTTCAGCCTTCTGCCTGTTGACCAATGAGCTCTCCTCCTCGCACCTGACTCAATGTTCAAGTAGATTCACAGTTGTGGCCATCTCCTGATGTCGCTTTTCATACTCGATGACCTTGAGTCGGGCTTCTTCTTGATACTCTCCGTAGATCTTCACAAGGTGTTGTGCCTGATCTTCGGATAGCTTTGTCTTCCCACGTTGAATGTCGATGTGTTGGGCAGCTTCTTGAAGTTGCTCGTCGGATCTTTTGAGGATGTGGGCTACTTGTTGTTCCGACATGCCTGCTCTCCGTTCCAGTTCCTGGATGCGCGTGACATTGCCTTGGTCGTCACGTTCATATGACTCCTGTAGCATAGCCAAATGTCGCTTAGCCTCCTCCACTTCCTGTCTGAGGGTCTTGTTTTCCTGAGTGACCTTAGACGGACTAGAGCCTGCAGGCGATTTAGATCGCCCTTTTTCCTTTCTCGCAGGACTCATAACGCCCTTCACGCTCCTTCTCGGTGTCGATAATGAAGCTGATGACGATCTTTTCTTTTCTCCGTCCTTGGACCACACGGCGTGACCAACTTCTTTCCAGGATGAATGTGATAGGTCATGGCTAATACCAGAACTTGCACTTTGTTGTGTATCCGGAGAGTCCGCAATCGCCGGCACTGCAAGCATACCTGTGGAACCACTGGAACTATCATTTCCGAATGTTGCAGTTCCTGGGCTTCCGGAAGAATCCATTGTACGGCTGAAAAATATTCCAAAAAGTTGTATTGTGCCTCAGTTGCAATCCACCGCAAGGACCAATTTTGAACTTACGGCTGATAACCTGCCAGGAGGCGGATCAACCACGCAGTCAATAGACAGGGTAGTTGAGGTTCGACTCCCGTGGGGTGACCAATACCCTCGACAGTAAGTCGTATAGTAGTGGTCGTGGTAAAAGGGGGTTGTAAGGTTGTAAGGGAAATGATCTGCGTTGTCTCACGACTCAATGCGACCACGGAATACGAACCCTTTTGCTTTGCTTCACAGCAGTGTTTGGATGTTTGCCTCGATTCTATTATCAAGGTCTTGAGCCAAATGCATTCGCATGTACATGTCGGCTGCACTCAAAACACAATCTCCCCAAAAGGTTTGAGACCTTAAACAAGGGGAAATAACAGGGTGACCCTCAGAACCTGCCCTTAGGATGTTTTCGCCTTGCGGCTCGGAGATCCTTAGCACATCACAACCAATAACAAAACAATGCATGTAGTCATTTGGCACCTTCACATGCTTTCACTTGCCATACCTCGAGCCATAAATCCAACGGCCTAAATTGAGACATGCCAAGAGTCAATGCCCAAGACTACTCACCGGCTGGGACGGCTCGTTTCACGTGAGCCTGCGCCTGAGTTTGCGCCAGCATTGTAAATTCCAACGGAACCAAACTGAGCAACCCTGAAAAAGAAGACATGCCAGGATCGTGGACGCATGGAATGGCTTGTGGATGTGTAAGAAACCCGTTGACCAGTCATGGAGATGTGAGTGTGCTACGTGCATAGTTTTTCCTGTCAGCTGGAACCCAAACTGACTGCCTAATACATAAGATTCGAGGTGCATTGCGCTAGGACTGCAAGGGCAGAGATTAGGACAGGCCTCATTCTGCTTCAATAGGAGGATTGTCCTGCTTCACGATCCTTATTATGGGGTGTGTTTTCCACGAATACACAACGCAATGTGAAAACCAGTCGCCTACCTACCACAAGCAAACCGGCAGGCGGCGGACAGGCTGACCGATACAAACACAGACACAGACACAGCAGACAAAGCACAGCAGGAAGCAAATTGAAAGGCTTTGTAGTTGGGCCGTAACTATTTGGTTGGGTTCTCCTCACTGAAATGATGGCTTTGTGCCAAAATGATCCTGGATGTGGTGTCCTCGCCACAACAGTTTATTAAGATGATGCCCGTGCATCGGAGAGTTCTTAAGCCAAGATTCTGCACGACACCTTGCCATACTGTCCCAGCCAGGGCTTCTCGTACTCACAGGTATTGTTCAGGCTCCTGCCTGGCAAAAGGGAGGCCCTCTGCAGACAGCCAATCACCAAGCCAAACAGCTCTTCAAACTCTTAGCAGCTGATATAAAATACGGAAATCATGTGTTCAGTCGCACGCAGTTGCCCCCCGCTTCGCAGCATCCGAGATGGAGGAAACCCTGTGAAGAACGGGACACGCCGCCCATGAGCTTTGTGCCTAGCATATGCCACTCGAAAATTGCTGTTGGTCCCTCTGCGAAAAGTTCGGCTTTTTGTGGGTCCAATGGAATATCCAAGCTGGATCCCCAAAGGTTAAAAAAATTTCAAAGATCTAACCAAAACCCCAAAACCCCAAAACCCCAAAACCCCAAAACCCCAAAACCCCAAACCCCCCAAACCCCCAAAACCCCCAAAACCCCCAAACCCCAAAACAAAACCGCTTTTTTAGGTTAGTCCTTCGGTATCTTGGTGCTTCAGATCTTTTCCGCGGATTTCCCCCCAAGGCTTCGCGAGCTGGAGGCACGTACGAGGTGGCCGTCCACAAGGTCCACCGCTCCGCCGGCGCACTCCGGGATGCCCTAGGCATGTGGATCGATCAGCTTTTGGGTTTTGGGCTGATCGCACATCCTTCGCCTTTGGCAAAAATCAGGATGCAGTGAATACACTTGAACATTGCAACTTGTAAATGGAGGTTTCCAACTTTTTTGGGTGTGGAAAAAGCAACATGTTTCAAATGGTTGCAAAGTGTATCTTTGAAGGAGCCCTGATCAGCCTTTGGTGCAAAAAGCTTCAACAGAATCAGTGGTTTACAAAGCCCACCGGAGCGGCTGGCCCTTTGCGCCCCTAGCCCCCCACAACATGCTGATGGCTAGGAGGGAAACACTGAAGACCCTAAATCACAACAACATTTGACCAGCTACACCAAGGGATAAGAGGGCATGACAAACTTTTTGTGCCCTGGTCCAGCGGTAGTGCCAGACTCACAATCATGCCACATAATGTTGACCCAGGGTTAATAAACCCGTGCCATTATTAAAGGGGTGTTCCCTCCAAAAGTGACTACAAGGGGACCCCCCTATTAATCAACAAGAGGGTTTATTAATCCGGGGTTAACATTACGCAAGGCAGACCCCCTCAAACCAACCCGCTGGTCACAGGCCAGTCATCACAACAGTCTGCCACGTAATAAGGGCAGCAACTACACATAACTACACTATACAACCATCAAGTTCAGAGCTCTCTCGCAAGTCCCATCTGCACTGGGCAAGAGCAGGCACAAAGAAAATGCACAAGCCTGAAGTTTAAGACTGCAAGGCACTACGCCAACCCGGCTCTTCTTTCAAGCGCATGTCTTTGGAGTTCTCGACCCTTGACGGTTCTCCTCCTGACTGGCTTCCAAATCGGAATGAGGTCGGCTAAGGGAAGTTGTCAAATCAACACTAGCGCCTGGCACGACTCTCACTGGGTTCCTCTCTTCTTTTTTTTCCTGTAGTCTATTTTAGTAGGGGAACCCAAAACCCCAACCAAAGAAGGGGTTAAAACGGGCACCTGGCTGGGGGACCTAGGTGAGACGCGCGAATCATCTCTTCCCGGCCCCGGCCCCAGATAGGACGGAGCGGCATTCATGGGGAAGTCGGTGAGGCAGGTCCCTTGCGCAAGGTTGCCGGCGGCCTGGCAAGCCATTCTGTTTTTTGCACATGGGCTCGTCTTTTTTTGAGGGTACAACGGTTGTTGGTCTTGAAGGGAAACCGAACACATAGGTTTTAAAGGGAAACCCCAAAAAACACCAAAAAACCGTGTTCTTTCTATTTTTTCATGTTTTTGGGGGGGTACCCAAAAAAAAACATATCTATAACTATAGGCGTCCCAAAAAGAAGTGATTGACACTAAATGTACGCAGCTAGCTCAGAAGTCACTTTGACTTTGCTGGCTATCGGCCTGGTGAATAGGGGGTGTTAGCAACCAAGCAAGTCCCCTTTCACTTTCTGCGTGGGATGGCCACCGAAAAACTCCAGGAACTTTGCCCCTAAAAAATGAAGAAAACAAAAGGCATCCGGATCCCCTAAATGGGACACCCAAACATTGAAATTGTGACATTGAATGAGCACAAGGCAGCGAACCACACAATCGTGTCTGAAAAGGAATCAGCCTGGTCCCAGAAACTCTGCAGCTTCCTGAAAAGCTTTCGCGCGCCGAATATCGATCCTGGATGAAACGACCTATGAACCGAGGGAAGTGTAGGATCATGGACGTACAGTTGAACTACTCACAAGAATGTTTGTCCGCCGCTCTTTTCTTCAGTTGCGGCTTTGAGCAATAAGTTATCATAACGAGCGATTTGCGAACAAAGGTGACATTGCCGGAGGATACGCTTCCACTGGTTGAACACGGTAAGCTGTTTCTCCAAAAATAAAGGGTCATCTCCAGGTACTTACCCAGTGGGACGCTAAGCTGATGCCAGCCATGCTCGTCTAGCCCTCCCTCGTCCTTTCTGCCTGGCACAGGGTGTCGGAAACGCCTCAGGCAGGCAACATATGACCTCTCGTGGCTTTTTGCTGCAAAGCCTTGAGGGGATGCCGAACACACCCAGTCCAATCCATTGTTAGCTTCCTTCTCATTTTGGAGCCAAGTCATCTGCCCACGGATCCCAGAAAACCACGGCTTGGCTCTCAGGCATACCAGGCAAATAGAGGGTCTGCCCGTCCGTGCCCTTGTGGTTTCTGTGTAGGGAAAAATCCAACGTCTGAAGTCCGAATCAACACCGATCGGTATCTCGGTTGCTGTTGACCCCCCCTGCAAAAAGTAAAGCTTTTTGGGTGGATTTAGTGGAAAACCCCCTGATTCCCCAAAAAGTTGAAGTCTAAAGATCCAACCCAATAGCAGTCAAGGTATTAACGCTGTAAAAAAGCAACAAGGCGGCTGCTCATTTACCCGGGTTTAGATTGCTCATCATAAGGTTTGGACCACAGGAATGGCTCCATACCGACTGCTTTCCGTTCACTCCTAGCTGGACCTGGCCCAATGGCCAGGCACTGAGGCCACTGAGGAATTTGGTGGAAGCAAATCATGGATTTCGAAGACGCCCTGGTCGGCACCTAATTGCACCCAAAAAAGGGAAACCAAAAGGAAACAAAGACGAAATGGACCCTCAAGATGTCAAAAGCACTCTGGTATTTTGCGTCCCTAACAAGGAAGCACCTCTCCAAACGAGAGGAGGTTGCATAGACACGTCATGTCCACTTCCTATCCCAACTCGAAACAAGCCCGAATTAAGTCTCACATCGACGTTGCCTCACTCCAATGAGTAAAACGAACCAGACCAGGAAATACAAACAAGGCTGCTGTCAAAGTACATGGCTGCGTGCTCGCGGGAAAAATGTGATTTCCAGTTGGGGGGAACAAAAACTAGAACACTAAACTAATACTAGCCATAAAGCAATACTAAGACTAAACCACTTGTGACACGCTTTCAAGCAGCTTCCCGAATAAATGCTCAAGGCGAGTGGTCACTGAAGCTCCATGATAAATCTCGGGTAGGAAACAAATAAAACAACCCCCCCACCCCCCTGGGCCCGCCGTACAAATGACGTGCTAAGAACATACCACACTACACTAAACTAACTAAAGCTAAAGCTAAACCAACACTAGACGAATAGCAACCAAGCCAGCAAAACAAACTAAAGCCCCACACGGCCAAAATTATTCATTGTTGACGTGCCTTAGAAAAACGGCATCCCAAACGAATTTGTGCCCTGGATACGCATGAGAAGTAAATAGCAATGGTCTGAGGAGGGTATGCAAAGCCTTTTCAAGGGTCATTCAACTCTCAAGCAATGAGCCGCTATATAGTCACAACCTACTGAATTTTTGCCCATGGCAAGTCACAAAGGAGCCGCAACTGGAATTACGGCATTCTCCAACCAAGTCTGTTGACCCCCTGCAAAAAGTTTAACTTTTGGAGGTTTAGTGGAAAACCCCTTGATCTCCCAAAAACTTCAAGTCTAAAGATCCCAAGCCAATAGCAGTCCAGCCAAAAAGGAAGCCCCTTCATGGGCAGCTCGTCTTACCCAACTCGTCATCGCCCCAAAAACTCCAAAGTTGTCGATTCGAGCCCCCAGCGACTGGTCAAACTCACGGTGTCTTTCCTGTCGCAGCGAGGTCTCAAATGGGCCGCTCAGAAAGCGAAAGCGTCACACTGCTGATGACAACCAAGCGTTGCAGCTGGACGGATTCCCGCCATTCACCACGAGCTTGTTGCTAAACTGCTTGCCTTGTGCCTTTCTCAGTGGTCATTTGCACCAGATAGTGGAAGCAATGGGTGAGCACCATCCGCAAAGCAGCTCGCTGGTCTACATATAAAGCGCAACAGATCATACCGAATGGCGGAAACAAACCCAGTGCCGGGCTGATACACACACAAAGATGAATCCCCTTCTTTGACCATTCTCGGTCACCTCCCATGCGATCGACAACATGAAACGAACTCTTCTGCTTCTGACAGCAACTGGAAGCAGTCAAAACCATGGGCTGATAGACACGCTGCCTCCTGACATGCGACTGGCTCATCGACAGGAGTGTCAAGCAAGGGCAAGGCAAGTGTGCAAACAAGTAACCATTCACCAGCTGGAAATCAATCAGGGTGTTGTCAATCGTGGGTTCTGTTTAAACCCTGCCAGACCTGTAGGCGCATTTTTGCGTTGAGGGCCCAATTTGCGTGCACTCATTGCTTTTTTGGTCCTGTCAAGGTCGCCGAGGATTGAGTTTGAACAAGGAGTGGCACCACCGAGTAAATTGGCCAACGACGGTGTGGCAAGCACGAACAAACGGTTGCTTGTTTTTGCCAAGCCCTGAAAAGTGAGTTGTCAGTCCATGAGGTTGACTCGTTACAGAAGTCTTTTAACTAAAGCTTAGCCTTGAGCAAGTGAGTGCTGACTTATGTGCTTTTGTGCCCACGTTTGTGCATGATTCATTTGCAATTGGAGGGACTCTGGGATTCGAGAAGCAGTTTGCTTGCGGCTTGCGGCTGCCCAAACTGGGCCACGTAATGAACAACGCGGACAAGCATAGGGAAGATGAGGGACATGAATGCCTAGAGTCTCCATGACCCTTAAAAACTGGGTCCATGAGCCCTTGATTTTGGGGAATGGCCCCATTTTCTAAGGGTCATGGAGACTCCAGGTGGGCATTTAGCAGTCCGTGATTTGAGTTCAGTTCGGTCACCCTTGGCTTCGGGGATAAGGGCAGGTGACATTCCCGCCTTTGAGGGCTCCAACTAATCTCCCAGGCCACAGCACCGTGCAGCAAGACAAAGACGGCCTCAGCTAACATCCTAAGATTCCAACCCTCTTAATAAGGCCTAAGGCCCATTAAAGCAACCAAGGGGAGAGGGGGTTGTATGTTACCGACGGATAGATAGCGATGGCGGGTGCGAGGTGTGCGAGCGTGCGCCCAAAAGTGCATCACACCCTTCAAAAGGGACAGACCCCTAAGAACTGAAGAAGGATTGACAAGGATCCTTGCATTATGCACCTGAACATTGCAACTTGCAAATGGTGGTTTCCCTTTATTTTGGTGGAAAAAAGCAACATGTTTCAAATGGTTGCAAAATGTATCTTGTAAGGAGCCCTGATTGATGAATCGGACAACCAGCTCGCGAAAAATGGAAAGCGCATTGCTCTTGCAAGCGGGGCCGGGCATGCGTCACGGTTCTCCGCGATCCGGATCCGCGGCAACATCCCCAGCATCCGCTGCAACAGCAGTAGCATCACCAACGCCCACGAGCGGCACAGGGTGCGCGCCATCGCGAGCAACGCAACCAGCGCTGGCGTTGCTGGCAACAGCATGTCTGCCAGAGGCAACCAACTTGTGCCGCCCGAATGCTGACAGAACCCCTGACATGACTGTGGACAGAAAATGCTTTGGGGGGCAGTTGGCAACACAGAATATGCAGCTACCGTGGTATCGACCCAAAGGCTGCTTTCCGTCACTATACAAAATTTCAAAATATGTCAATATCCTAAGGTAAGGGGCTAAGGGGCCCCCAAGTAAAGAACCTTCGTCATTCAACATGGTGAGCTCGATTTACGGCTGAGAAAAGTCAACAGGAACAAAGGATGAACTCCATCCCCTGTGCCGCCCAAATCCCTGCCACGGTAACCCGTAATTATCTCCGACAAATGGGGTGCACGGATGCAGCCCTTCCCATTTTGTTGGTCCCGCTCACCATGCCAAGGGGCGAAGCGGAACATGGTCCCAGATCAGATTTCACAGGGGAGTGACGTGCTGCGAGCCGAAATTGCTAGGCATGGAACATCTTCCAGAAAGCTCCAGGAAGCACAGCGACCGATTCATCTGACTTGACGGGCGGAAAAAAGCAGAAAGAAAAGCCAACAACAAACAAACTGTCAAGCTCCTGGCAGGTATGGAATCCTGAAAAAACCAAAGAAAAGCTTCCATGCAGTTTGAATGCGTCCCTTAACCCAAAAAAAAAGTGGCCGGGGCCCAGGCCTTCGGGCTCACAAGCCAGTGGCTTTTCTGGCCCAAAAAAAAAACGGTCCATGCATCCAAAGTGATACTGAAGGACTTGCGCCAAGGGTTTGACATTGGGTTCGAATGCCAAACCTGGCATGTCAATTGGTCGATGCATTGTTCTGGGTAGGGCCCCTGAGATTCGCCTGGTGGATGTGGGGAGAGGGGGGGTGGCCCCAGCAAAGGATTCTGTTGGAACGTCCGCTAGAATCAACAAATGAGGAAGCTCGGCTTCCTGGAGAAACCAGGCAGTCGCATGGTCTCTTTGCCGTAACTGCTGAAGAGGCTCGAAGCCGCACCCGCGCACCTTTTTAAAGAAGGCCTTTTCAGCACATACGCGACCGAGGCCAACACGGCCCATGTGGTGCCACGGCAAGGTGCGCATGTGGAACTGGTCCAAGGCGACTTCATGTCTAGGATTGCCAGGTGTGAGTAAATGCAAGCTGCCCGAAATGGATGCATATGGATGCATCGGAAAACGAAAAAAAAGACATCGCAGTTTGCACCGAACATCAACTGACAAAGTAAACTCGTGTGAAAGCCGAGTATATCATGATGATATGGAAACGAAGATTCGGGATTCCCGTTCAGGAAGCCACAAGGGATGGTTTGTGGGGGTCATTCCAACTCATTCCCTGCTGAGAACCGGCAAGTTCAGTCTACCCAACAAATGGCTTGCCCAAACACCGACAAACCACCGAGAA